TTATCATGCCTTTACAAGATATGGCAAAATCTAGAACAAAGCTACCGAGTCGTCAAATATATGCAATACCCGCGTTTATATATGAAGGTGGACAAAAAAATAGATGCGAGGTGTATTTTACAGTTGTATACCGTAGAAATTGTAAAAGCTCACACAATGTTTTTACAAATTGCAAAATTGCGTATATATTAGAAATGAAAAACTGATAACGAAAATAGCAAAATATATAGAAGTCCATAATTTTTCTCCTTCCTAAGAAATATTATCTCCCACCGACGGGCTTTTTTATATTTCATTTATATTTTATTCATTCATTCCGTTTTGAGAACTCAAAATGAAAACAACATTGACTCGGTTCATTTACGCGTTATTAGTTTGCGTCGGACTCATCGTGTGCTCTAACGCCGATCCACCAAATGTTAAATTAATACAACATTATCTGGAATCACAAAACAATATACGAAGCAATTATTTGAGCGACATCAATGATTCGACTGCCTTGTTTCGCGAGATTGATCGAGAAATTCAAAATTTGATTGAACTGCGATACACTATTCGCCGTCATATAAGGAGCAAAGCTTCCCAAATGCTTGCTAACTCCTTGAACAAAGATGATGAGTCTCAATTGAATTCAGCGCGTCAGGTAGTTGAAACGCTCTTAAAGAAATATGAAATTCCTTTAAGTGAAGACATAGTTCACGATGCTTTAGAAGAAGTTTACAACGAAGTGACACCTACTAAGCTGGTGGATCGTATATGGGATGCTATGCAAATGAATGACAAGCAATCTTTTGAACTGACCGTACGATCACAATTGTCATTATTTTGGTTACATCAAGGCAAAGGTACAGCCGATAGGGATTATTTAAAAAAAGTTAGTTATTATATGTATCAAATTATAAATCATCCTTTATATGCGACAATCGATCAGTCGCTTAAATCCCGTGTGGAAAGGTGCTTACAGCTGCTACCAACTGCTTTGAATAGTCTACTGTTTGCTTCAAAATTCTGTCTAATGAGTGTGCAGCATTCTGAGTATGTTTATACGGCAATGGAAGCTAAACTTGATTCTGATAGCCGTTACATATGGGTTTGGCATGAGAAACGATTTATCGATGACACGGGTCATATTAAAGCCGCAGTATTGAATGACCCAAACCAAGCATTCTCCAATTTAAGAGTAACTCTAACGGGTGTTAAGTATAATCTTTATTATTATCGCAGGTCAAATGGAAATGTTGTCGCTGGTTGGGAATCCTCTGCCCCGCCGCAACAGCATGAATGGGACGTTCAATTGGTGAATGATGATACGGTTGTATTCTCCCAAAACGGTTACTTAATGTGCTCAGGTATTAATCACGATGGCCAGCGGAGGAATATCTATGGATTCCAAGATAACAATCATTCCCCTCAAACTCGTGTCTGCCAGTGGAAAATTGGATCCTGTGATCGTCGTTAATGAGTAAAAATTTCAAATATTCCTTGTATAACACGTAATCTTTATAATGTCAATAAAAATTATGATATAAAATGACGACGTACATCAGCGTTCACACGAAACCTAAATGCATATTTTAGTTGGCTTATTAACCGAAGAAATCAGAGATTTTACGATTCTTAGGAAATCAATATAAACTTTACCTTCGTAGATAAAGATAATTTTTTCAACGTTAAACTGTCTGGTGTCATGAGCCATTGGCGGCTACCTGAGTTAGAGTGGTGCTTTCGTCGCTGACGTTGTATGAGAACGGTAATCGGGTATATTGAAGCCAAATTATAACATTATATGCATTCATTGTATCTGTCCAAGCTTTTTCGAATGCGTAGGAATCGCGCTCTACTAAATCGGGAAGATAAGAAGCTCTTATTCTTTAAAAGGATCAGTCAAATATGTTACTTTTGCCCCGAAGTTGTTGATCATCAACTAGTTTGGGTAGAGCAGAAGTAAAAACATCTTCTTCACAGTTTGGGTATCCAATTTCATCTCCATGAACTTCGATCAAAATTTTGGCTGACGTTCGAAGACATCTTAAACTACTATAAACTCTTCTTTTTTTTTTTTGTATTCGATTTTATGCGAAAGCGTTTTTATTCAATTTGTAGTTCAGCAGCGACGTCATAATATTAAACGTGCCAGCGTTCGTCAATTATACCTTGGGCCCCTAGTGGTACTGTGGCATAGACAGTTGTAACAGCCAGAAGAAGTTGAGGCAGCCCCACCTGTTATTACAATGATCGATATAAATCCGTCTGTTTGTGCGTCCAATGTCTGTCCATGATTTATGGATTCAACTTACAGGTCGTAATTTTCGAGATATTTAATGAAACATTTCTTCCTTTTTTTGTATTATTCTCTGGTATTATTTTGTTCCGATAAGAGAAAAAAAATGTTTATTGAAAAAAATATAAGTAAATTTTTTTTTGCATTTTTTATAATAGCAAGCCGTTCAAATTGTTTTATTTTTGGTTTTTCCCTTCTCTTTCTATCGTTACGGCGCAAGTCTGCTTCCGCTGCCCCTCTACGCTAAAGTTTTATATCAAGTGCCTTGGACGAATGAATGAAATCACCAGAAAGACGATATATGCAGCAAAAAGCATGTGTTATGAAGCTACATTTCTATGTTCGTATGTTAATCGACAAAATATTCAATTCACTCTATTCTGAAGAAAGTTCATCCTCGATCCAAAACAGTTCAGAGTGTAACGAATTCCATCCAAATCTCTCAATGATTGCGCCCTATACCTTGAGAGCAAGAATTTATGGACAGTTTTAACGTGGACAGACAGACAGACAAACGAGAGTCATTTTCTCAGTCCATCGGCATAAGAATCTGTGCGAACTTAATATACCCCTGTCAGCTATTGTGGTACTGCGATCTTGTGGTTGACCACGAGAATGTATGAAGAAACACCAAATGGAAAGACAGAGTTGATTCAGAAAATGATTTTGAAAATTATTCTCTATCGATAAACATAAAAAAACCATGGGCTTATCATAAGTCCTTCTAGGTGTTACATACATTCATATAAACTTAATATACCCTTATATCATAAGTATTGTAAAATATAGCAGGTCCTAGTACAATGCTACCGGAGTGCCAACTATTTGCAATTTCTGAGTTTTTAATATATTATTATTATATTATATATGAGAAATGAAAAACTGATAAGATTTAATTACTAAAAAATATTTTATAAAATTTTTTTATTTCCTAAGAAATATTATCTCCCATCAAAGGGTTTTTATATTTCATTTATATTTTAATCATTCATTCCGTTTTGAGAACTCAAAATGAAAACAACATTGATTCGGTTCATTTACGCGGTATTAGTTTGCCTCGGACTCTTCGTGTGCTCTAACGCCGATCCACCAAATGTTAAATTAATACAACATTATTTGGATTCATACGACAATATACGAAGCAGTTATTTGAGCGACATCAATGATTCGACTGCCTTGTTTCGCGAGATTGATCGAGAAATTCAAAATTTGATGGAACTGCGACATACTGTTCGCCGTCATATAAGGAACAAAGCTTCCCAAATTCTCGCTAACGCGTTGAATGGACACGATGAGTCTCAGTTGAATTCAGCACGTCAAGTAGTTGAAACGCTCTTAAAGAAATATGAAATTCCTTTAAGTGAAGATATAGTTGACGATGCCCTAGTGGAAGTTTATAATGAGGTAAAGCCTGCAAATCTAGTGGATCGTTTATGGTATGCTATGCAAATGAATGATAAGCAATCTTTTGAATTGACCGTACGATCACAATTGTCATTATATTGGTTACACCAAGGCAAGGGCGCGGCCGACAAGGATTATTTTAATAAAGTTAGTTACTATTTTAATAAAATTATAAATCATCCTTTATATGCGACAATTGATGAGTCACTTAGATCCCGCATGGAAAAGTCTTTAAACCTACTACCGAGCGCTTTCAAAAGTTTACTATCTGATGCAAAATTCTGTCTAATGAATGTAGCGCATTCTGAATATGTGTATACGGCTTTGGGTGGTAGACCTGATTCTGGTAGTCGTCGCATATGGGTTTGGCATGAGAAGCGATTTATCGATGACTCGGGCCATATTAAAGCCGCAGTAGTGAATGACCCAAATCAACTACTCGCCAATTTAAGAGTGACTTTAAGGGGAATCAAATTTAATGTCTACTATTATCGCACAGTGTCAAATGGAAATATTATCGCTGCTTGGGATTCCAACGCACCACCGCAGCATCATGAATGGGACGTTCAATTGGTGAATGATGATACAATTGCATTCTCACAAAACGGTTACATAATGTGCTCGGGTGTCAATCACGATCGCGAGAGGAGGAATGTCTATGGGTTCAAAGATAACGAGCATTCCTCTCAAACGAGTGTCTGCCAGTGGAAGATTGGATCTTGTGATCGTCGTTAATGAATACAAATGAAAAATATTCCTTATGTAAGATGAAATCTGTTTTTAATTTGAATAAAAGTTATGATATAGGCGTTAAATTCACGCATTTTTTTGACAAGTACGGAATCACGCGGACCTTTGAATGGCTTTAATTTACGAAAGTAAAGATAGTTCATCTCATCCATCACTAGTTACGAAAAGTAATATTAGGTCAAAGTATGCATAAATAGTTATGGACTATATCTTGTTTTACAAGTTCCTAGGGTAACTGGGGAATGCTACTGTAATATAGCTAACTGAGAAAATCACAGATTTTACTATCCTTAGGAATTGAATGCACATGTTTTGCTCTAAGCTAAACAAACCTGTTGCAACGTAAAGCCTTCTGGTGGCATTACCTATTGGTGATTATCTAAGCTGCAACGCTACATTCTTTTCTCATGTTGCATGATAATGACAATCAGGCGTACTGGAACGAAATTATAGCGTATAGGAATGCATACCTTGTATGGGTGCAAACTTTCCTGAATGGGGAATAACCACACTCCGGGTAAAAAACGCTTATTGTTTAAAAAGATCAGTCAAATATTTACTTTTCCCTAAAATTTTTGATCATCAATCAATTTGCGCAGAGAAGCAGAAACGACATCTTTCGGAAAGCCAAATGCGACAAATTGATGACTTGAGCCATCGACGACATTTGAAGTTTTATACGAACTGTCCAAAACTGTTTTTAGTTGATTTGTACTACAGCAACGTCTAAAGATCAGATGTACTGATATTCTTTCATTATACCCTACATCATTAGGGAAATTAAATTTGTACGGACGATTGTAACACCCAGGAGCATTTGAGATAGGACAAATTTTTATTATACAAATCGAATCAGAATCATTTTCTAGTTTGGTCGAAGTTTGTTTGACCATCTGTCCATCTGAAGTCTATCCATGCAAATTTGTGTTCAATCTACACAGGTCGCAATTTTTGAGATATTTTGATGAAATCTGGTAAAATCACGCTGTTGTAAATGGTTCGGATCGGATCATTTTTTCGACCACTGACCAAGTTATTTTGATTAGTTGTTACAAAAAAGACTATTAAAAGTTGTTAGAGTTACTAATTGTATTTCGTCATTCTAAATTGTTATGAAACCTTTGGTTAAGCTGCGGGAGTTTTTCGCACCTTCCTTCGTGTAATTTCTCCTATGAAAACTGAGACTTTATATGGTAAAAAGATCTAATTTTAATAAAAATATTTCGTGTTGTGAAGACTAACCATACTCAATTTCGATCTCGTAGGTCTATGGGTTGGATCCTCAACCTATATAAAGGTTCTAATGAAAAATAAGGGGTTGTATGCCAAAAAAGTCCAAACTTTTAATATTATGTGACGAAAACTTGTCCTTAGTAGATTAACCAGCAACTTCGATCACAGAGATCTATTTTTTTGATGCGATCGTATATAGGGGCTCTCGTGAAAGCAAGCCTTCCTCTTACAGCGACAAAGCCTCATTTATGATTTGCTATAAAAAAAGCCACTAGAAAATAATAGCATCTTTGAAAAATAAACTAAGTTTGCTAAATTGAGTTTTTTCGTTTCCCTCAACACGGTGGCTTTCAAGAAAATTATGCCTTTGCATAAATCTGACGCATAATTTTTGGTGTATGGCTAAAGAAACGACTGCACAAGGCGAAGTGGTGTAGGGTATCTAATGTTCAACCTTGCCCAACTACAGCATTCTTAATTGTTTTTAGAGAGTTTACATTGGCTGCTCAGAGAGGTGCTTCGCGTTAATAGCAACAATGAGCAAGTCTTTGCTGCCTGCTGATCTGGATGAAGTCCATTTATTATAAATTTTCATGCAAGCGTACGAATTTTGCAGAATTGCGGTTAAAGTATGTATCTATTTTACGATCTTCGATGCATATCTCTTTGTATTAAGAATATCCAGCTAATATAAAATATCCCATATAGCGGACATTTATAAACGGTTAGGAATCTATGATACATTTCCTCAGAAGCGAATTTTTATAAATTTAGTTTTGCATTAAAATATCCAATAAAATTTTGCACAAAAGCAACTATCAGCTCCGGAAATACGCGTACGTTTCATTTAATTTAAAAATAAATCCTAGTGTGCCAAACTTATGTCATTCATGAGTTTTTTTATGTATTGAAAAGGAAAAATATTTACAATTTTTTTATTTCCTAATATGAATTATCTTAAACCGACAAGGTTTATATATTATTTATTATACCCTACTATTGGTACCGCGACATATAAAATTTATGCAGACGTATGCAACACCCGGAATTATTTGAAGTAGATCCACCTTTCATTATACCGATTGATTCAGCATCACTTTCGAAATCTGTTTAAGCTTGTCTGACCGTCTGTCCATTTGTTTACCTTGTTTTTTTTTGTTCAACATATAGGCCGCACTTTTCGAGATATTTTGATGAAATTTGGTACAACGACTTTCTTTGACGAATACTATTGAAACCCTTTCGGATTGGAAGACTTTTTCGACCACTACTCATGTAAAGCCTTATTTAGGCAAGTCGTTATATGAACAACTATATTAAAGGCAATGGGGTAGAGTATTTAAAAGTGAACTGTGTTACACTATAGTGTTATCAACTTTTTATTTACAACGTGTTTAATATTTTATTAGAAGCAATTCATAATTTATTCCATTCTGAGAAGTCAAAATGCGAACAACATCGACTCGGTTTAATAACGCGTTATTAGTTGGCGTCGTGCTCATTGTATGGTCTATGGCTCAGTCGCCAAACTTTAAATTAATACAGCATTATCTGGAATCATATACCGACATACGGAACAATTATTTGGATGAGATCAGTAGATCGACGGACCTACTCCTCGAGATTGATCAAGAAATTCAAAATATAATCGATCTACGGCACTCTATTCGCCAAAATATAAAAAGCAAAAATGCTCAAATTCTTGCCAACTCCTTGAAGGAAGATGATGAATCTCAATTGAATTCATCGCGTCAAGAGATTGAAACACTACTAAAGAAATATGAAATGCCCTTAATTGAAGATATAGTTCACGATGCTCTAGCAGAAGTCTGCAACGAAGTAAAGCCTACGAACCTAGCGGATCGTATGTGGGATGCTGTGCAAATGAATGATAAGCAGTCTTTTGAATTGGCCATAAGATCTCAGATGACATTATTTTGGTTGCATCAAGACAGAGAGAATTCCGATAAGGGCTACATCAAAGAAGTTAGTTATTATTTCAATAAAATTGTAAATCATCCTTTTTATGCGACACTCGATGAGACGCTTAAATATCAAATGGAAAAATGTGTTAATCTACTACCAAGTGCTTTCAAAAGTTTACTGTTTGATACAAACTTCTGTCTAATGAGTGCAGCGCATTCTGAATATATATACACAGCCATAGAAGCTAAAATTAATTCCGATAGCCGTTACATATGGGTTTGGCATGAGAAGCTATTTATCGATGACACAGGTCATATCAAAGCCGCGATAGTAGACGACCCGAATCAAGCACTCTCCAATTTACGAGTAACTCTAAAGGGAGTTAAATACAATCTGTTCTATTATCGTATAGTATCAAATGGAAATGTTGTCGCTGGTTGGGAATCCACTGCCCCACCCCAGCATCACGAATGGGACGTTCAATTGATGAATGATGATACGGTTGTATTCTCACAAAACGGTTACATAATGTGCTCGGGTGCAAACCACGATGCTGAGAGGAGGAATGTCTACGGATTCAAAGATAACGAACATTCCTCGCAAACAAGTGAATGCCAATGGAAGATTGGAATTTGTGATCGCCGCTAAAGAAATAAGAATTGAAAATACTAAGAAATTTTTTTAAATTTCATATAAAAGACGAAGAAGTCTTTTCATTTCAATACAAGTTGAGATACAAGTTATCGCTCAGGTCTCCTACAAGAGAGTTAGACGCAAATTTCAAATGCCTACGAAACTACAAAGTATCTTGAAAGAGTTAAACCGACGAAAGTGTAGGTACTTCAATTTCTTATCAGTTGAGCGACCAATATATAGATAAAATAGCTGTACGTATAACAAATCGCTAAGGCAATAGTGTTTTTTGAATTGTGCAATGCTATTACGATTAAATAAAAAAGAAGGAAATAGAAAGAAAGAAAGTATCATTCTGGGGAACCGAACATACATACAGAAATTTTTCACTTAGTACTTTGTAAGGTGGTCTTTTTCTATCCCCGATGTGTGAGTCAGCTCAGACGTGCCAGGGTCTATCTTATCAGAAATTTTTATTACGGAGGGTGTCGCCCTTTTTCTTTTGTCAATGGAAACACTTTCTCCGTTTTACTTAACCTCGATTTTATTCGCGTAGTACAAAACGATTATTCTAATGCTCGATATGCACCCGTAGTAAACGCTAAACACTCTCTTTGAGGATGAGACCACCTTTTCTCTTTCACCTAATCTTTCTCTTAAATTCCCTCAAAGTGCGGCCGACGGTGAGTCAGTCAGTGAAACGCACACACATCACAGACGGAGCAGAGAAAAGAAAATCCAGGATCCCGCTTTTATCTTCTTACTAACTCTCTAAGTTCAAGAGCAAGGCTACAGGATTTCCTCTTATGGCTAGTTTTCGAGTGCTATTTATGCTATGACAGCCAGGGTTGCTGTATGCCCCTTAATTTAGTAAGAATACAGAGGACATATCAGTGGGTGATGTGTTATCCAGAGTGGATAAAGTATATTCGTGTATCTAAATGAACTTAAATGAACTTAATATTTGCATATTCTTTATCAATTCATTTTGAAGCAATCCATTCACATTCCTATAGATATGACTGGTTTCTTATTGCTTCGGCAATCATCTCTGCAGCGCTGCCATGATCGATTGCGCTACTTGCAGCTGCAACGCTACTGCTTGCATTGCTCCCGCCAACTGTGTTGCCCCCAGTCGTGTCGACTGCACTGCCGTCCAGACCACCAGGCCATCAACTCTATTCTTCTTCTCCTTCTACTCCTATTTCTATCTATACTCCCATTTCTATTTATAATAGTAGAACTAGAAATAGACGAATGAACGTCACAGTGGCGGTGCGCAGTAAAAGTAGAAATAGGAGTTTTCAGCTCCATCATATCCCAATTGTCGGTTTTGGGTTGGCCAAGTTGCCAGATATATTGCAAAATGTTGACAATTTAGAATAAATAATTTTGACTGACACATGATTTCTTAAAGCAAGTAAATTCAGTTTGGGAGTCCCTACAATAGCAACGTCGTTCTCTTTCTCTTTTCTCACTTCATCTCAACGATTACCTTGTTACGCCTACAGGTAACATTTCCTGATGTATTTCAAAAAAGAATATTTAAGTACAATTTGCTATGACTTGGAATTACTCTCAAATACCTCTCAAATATAGACTAAAATCGCGCAAAGTTACAAAGATGAGCCTGCATATTTATAAACATAGCCGGCTCGAGATCATACATGGGGTGGCGGGGAAATAAATTAAGGGACTGCGACTGCGATAGAAGTGGATCTAGAAATAGAACAACAGATGGCCCAACCGGGATGTCGCCGTGCACTGAGCATCTGCCGTGGGCAGCGCAGTCACTAGGTGTAGCGCGGTCGTCAGGTGCAGTATATGCAGAGCTGCAGCGCTGCACTTAGCTGAATGCATGTGCTAGCTTAGGTCATCAACTTCTTCTGTGGCCCAAGTCTGGCAAAAAAAGTCGGTCATCCCGCAAAAGGTAAAAGGAATGATAAACTTAACTGCTACCCGCAATTGTTAAATAAACCAAAAATATTGCTTCTCTTTTAGCACAGTTGAAAAACAAAAGTTAAGGGAGCTTTCTAGAAAGATCAAGAGACGTTAGTAAACGATAAATGACTTTTTTAGAAAATTTAAGAATTTAAGAATTAAGAAAATTAAGAATTTAAGAATTGTTAATAACAAAAGAAAGGCAAAGATTTAAACTAAATACGACTTCAGTATGAGCAGCCAGTCAGCAAAATTTCTATGAAACTAATCTTCTATTCTACTTGTAAATAGTGTTGTTTGCATTTTTAAATTCACCCCTACTGACGCTTTTTCTCTATCTTTATACTTTGATGCATAGTTTCAAGAAAAGTGATTAGCACTAAGTTTAACAATAAATAAATAACATGCTTACAGCTGATCAACTAAACGATGTATTATTTTATACCGAACATTCATTGAAAGCAGTCGCCATGAGAAGTGTACGAGTCAATTGCGCTTTTCTCGTTTTCACAGTTTGTATAAATTTTATAAAATGCAATGAAAAGAACGGCGGAGGTAGTGGAACCAATACAACAGTAAAAAATCAGGAAATATCGGCAGTCGCATCAGATGAAATTTTTGGTAAATTGGTTGACATAATGTGGAAAATATATCAATCGAATGAACCGGAAAGTTTCGAAGTTATGTCAAGAGCTCAACTGATGTTATTTCAGCTTTACGAAGATAGACAAAAAATCGATCAACAATATCCGAAGAAACTAGCTTATTATTTTTATAAAATCCTAAAGCATCCACTCTATGGCGGCTTGGACAATGCGCTTAGATCGAGATTAGATAATGCAATCGTTAGATTACCGCATGGTTATAAGGCACTATTATTCCAACCGCATTTTTGTCTAATGAATGTTGCATACGAGGAATACATTTACACGGCTATTCAAGCAAAACTTGATCCGGAAAACCGTTTCCTTTGGGTATGGTACGAGAAGAAATTCATCGACGATACTGGTCACATTAAAGCTGAGCTGATTGAGCCGTCAAATGGTAATGCGTTCGATTTTAAAGTCAAGTTAACCGGAATAAGATTCAATTTACCATATCATCGTTTGGACTATCATCAATTTGCTATAGTTGGTTGGCAAGGATACGGACAGCCCGAGAACTATCATTGGGATTTTCAATTTGTTGATAATGATGTAATTGTTTTTGAACAAGACGGTTTCACGATGTGCGTCGGTGATAATCAAGATACGGAGAGACGTAACGTGTATGGATTTATGGATAACGAGCATACTGCTAAAGATGCTATTTGCCAATGGAAAATTGGAAGTTGTGATCGTCGATAAAAACTAAGAAAAAATAGTATATTTTTAATCGTTATAAAATCAACTTAATTGCTTTCACGTTTCATAGAACTAATTGAAAATAACAGATTAGTTGAGTTGAAATAAATATATATAAACATAAGTACAGTGAAGTCTTTCTAAGCAACACATGTCACGATGACGTTTCAACCTGTTCTATACAGATGTCAAAACGGAAACACTTAAATATAATTAACATGATACGTATATGGATATATGGGCATTACATGTGTATTTTTATACTTAGTAAAAATTTTAAACAATGTAACGTTTTTTTTACAGTGAAATAAAGATGATAAAAAAAAAAAAAAAACGTAAAAGTAATCATGTCTTATTATTTCGCCTGCCTGTCAAACAATGCATTTCACATATTAAAGCAGACAAAAACACTACAGTGGAACACAGTCCACTATTTACTTGATACAAATGTTCATACTAAGACTTTTCAAAATAAGGCGTGCTTTAGGAAGTAGTTGAAAAAGTGTTTCTACCCGGGACATTTCCCATAGTATTGGTTCTTAGAACAAAATAGATGCGTGTATCAAATGTTATTAAAATATCTCAAGGTTTGTGTTGAACACAGAAATTCAAAGCGGACAGGAAGTAACTCTGAATCGATGGATGGGTCTATCTTAAGTTTTTCTTGTTGTTGTACATAGGCGCATAAACTTATTATGTTCCGTACCACAAATGGTGCAGGGTATAAAAATATTGTGTGCATAAGTAAAAGCTACGCGTACTTCTGTAATTTGGAAAGGTGAGGAGGGTATTTTTGTCATCTAGAAAAATTTTTACTATGCATTTTAATCAAAGTATTGTCCAACTATTGGTTTCGATCTTTCTCCATCTTTCAGACAATTCTCAAATTCCACTTCGAAAAAATATTACGCCTACATTTAGATATCGTCACAAAAATCGTCCCAGATATGTCTTCGTTGCTCAAGATTGAATCGCTTACTCTTTGGGAGGAATATTTTGGTCGCTTATAAGACGGGCTTTTAACTTACGGCGTAAGCATGTACTAATGCTTTGCTGCTACTATGGCACGCTACAGAGGGAGGGAATTCATTTAGAACTTGTGCTTTCACGTAGTTTAAGCAAAAAATTTATGTCCCTGCTCTCTGTGCCCGCCCCGCAAGTATTGCAACAACCACAATTCCTACTAATACTACTAAAAGTTTGTCTCTGATTGCACTTAAAATACAATACTAATAAATAATACTAACATTCCGCAGTAATAACCTATTGTAGATGAGGTGGTAAGTCGACCCAATAGTTTTTACATGTTTTTTAATCCATTTATCATATCTGTAATGATAAGATTTCGATAGTCACAGGGCTATACATTCAGAAACATTCCTGGTCGTTCGGCCACTATAACGACGTTCGAACAAAAGGGCATAACTAAATTGAGCCAAGTCAAAGCTACAAAAGAACTGGAGTCGTATTATTATATCTTTGGAAGGTATCACTGCAAGCCCAACATAACTTGTTTCCTTCTCTAATTCTTAAAGAATAAAAAGAAAGAAAGTTTAAGAAAAGAAAGTGAAGAAAAAGAACAACAAAGAAACTTTTCTTTAAAATTCCAAAAAATCTTGCTGCATATTATATGCACAATAAAATGCAATTAAAAACATTTGTAAAAAATTTTTATTTAAACCTTTAGCAATTTGGTTAAACTGAATTAATTTAAACTGAAAACTAATCCAATCATTAATTACATTAAGTTTTCAACTCAAGATCTTTATTTTAATCGTCAAATATTCAATGACTATCTCTCATCGCATTATGAAGTGGAGATATAATTATGATATAATTTATAACGCATGACAGTGTGGGAGAAATTTGCAAATGATAATCAAGCCACGCAACGAAACAAATAAATCGTTTTAGTATATAAACCATCACATTTGCGATCGAAAGAAATATCTTCAGCTGCTTATTTAAAGAACGCTAAACAATAAAATGTTATTTCGCCGTAAATAGATACTCAGTATAAAAATACTCATATATACTCACATACGTATCATGTTAATAATAGTAAAATGTTTGTGATTTGACATTTGTATAAAACAGGTTGATTCGTCATCATGACATGTGTTGCTTAGAAAGACTTCACCGAACTTAGCTTTACATTTTTTTTTTTTTTTTTGAAACTTAACTGTGAATTCTTGGAAACGTGGAAACAATTAACTTTATCAATAACTGAAAAGTTTTCTTTTTCTCGCTTATTACCGGCGATCGCAAATTCCAATTTTCCATTGACATATAGCGTCTTTAGCAGTTTGCTCATTATCCATGAATCCATATAGGTTACGTGTCTCCGGATTATAATTATCACCAGTACACATTGTGAAACCGTCTTGTTGAAGAACGAGTACATCTTTATCAACGAATTGAAAATCCCAATGATCGTTCTCGGGGTCTCCTGCTCCTTGCCAACCAACTATAGCAAACTGATGATAGTCCAAACGATGAAATAGTAAATTGTCTCTTACTCCGGTTAGTTTGACTTTAAAATCAAATGCGTTACCATTTGACGGCTCGATAATTTCAGCTTTAATATGACCAGCATCGTCGATGAATTTCTTCTCGTGCCACACCCATATAAAACGGTTTTCCAAATCAAGTTTTGCTTCTTGAGCGATGCAAATGTATTCTTCGTATGCAACATTCATTAGACAAAAAGGCGGTTGAAATAATAGAGTCTTATAATCATGCGGTAATCTAGCAATTGCGCTATCTAATCTCACTTTAAGCGCATTGTCTAAGTCGGCATAGAGAGGATGCTTCAAGATTTTATAAAAATAATAAGCTATTTTCTTCGGGTATTGCTGATCGATTTTTTGTCTACCTTCGTAAACGCGGAACAGCATGAGTTGAGCTCTTAACATAAGTTCGAAACTTTCCGGTTCATCCATTTGAAATATTTTCCACAAAATATCAACCAGTTTACTCGGTGTTTGGTCACTGAAAACTTCACTTAATGCATAGTACAGAATGTCCTCTGTTAAAGATGTTTCCTGATTTTTGGATAAAGTTTTTACTGCTGAACTGATTTCATTACCTTCGCCAGTTAGAGACTTGGTCAACATTTTAGCGTTTTTCTCTTGGATAAAGCTGCGCACATTATTAGTCAATTGATTTAAATGCCGTGTCTCACTTTGCAGTTTGTTATAAAAATCCATAGCGTTATTGGTATCTTCTGACTTTTCGTATCGTATGTCGCTCCATAAGTTAGAGTAACATATTCGTACATGATCGTTGCAATCCGCGCTGACTGTATAGTGTATAAGATTTATGCAAACCACGAAAGTAACAAAGGCGTGATTGACTCGTATGCTTCTCATGATGACTGCTTCTAACTGCAAGTTCGGTGTAAATATGAATAAAATATCTTACTATCAGTAAGTTATAAGTAAGTAATTTTTTATTCTTAGCGTTAACGACTTTTCTCAAATACAATTAGAGAGAGAGCGAAGAAGAGCGTTTGATAGTGTAAACTACACTGCATACTAAGACTGAAGATCATTTTTAGTGAAATTTGTTCATCGAGTCCACTTTCTTTTCTGTCTCAATCCGTATTGTTTTATAACGAATCTGTAATGCCAGTTTTTGCTTTCATGTGCTTTTAACCCATGTAAAAATTAAATAGAATTTTTGGGTATTTGAGAACTTCGCAGACGTTCGAACAGGTAGGCGTAACTAAAGTGAACCAAATCAAAAGTATAAAAAAACTTAAGACAAATTATTACATCTTTTAAGTAATGAGGCGACCAAACTTCTAGTATCTTTTAATTCTTATAACATGGAAATCTGTAGAAAAATAACAACAAAGACACTTTCCCTAATTTTAAGATTTCGAAAAATAGTCCTATACAAAATAAATTCCGAATAAAAACTTCTTAATAAATGCTTCATTTACACCTCTAGTAGCTTGGTTAAGCGTTTATATTAATTAAATCCTTTTTCAATACTTAATCAGCTTAACTTTCAACACTAGATCTCTATTTTAGTCCTCAAATATTCAATGAAAGTCTTTTTATCGCATCGTAAACTGGCGAAATAGTTATGATAGAATTTTTATCGCACGATAACAGCGCGCTCTCATACGGCGTAGCGTGAGAGAAATTTGTTATTGATAATCATAACACCTTTAAATATATCACACTAAATAATAAAACACGATTATTTTTACGTATTTTTCATATCATCTTTATTTCAATGTAAAAAAAATGTTATTACGTTGTAAATATATACTAAGTATAAAAATACTCATGTAATGTCCACATATATCTGCATACGTATTATGTTAATTATATTGAAGTGTTCATGCTTTGATTTCTGTATAGAACAGGTTGATACGTCATCATGACATGTGTTGCTTAGAAAAACTTCAAGCCAAAGCAGTTAGGTTAATTTTATAACGATTAACAGAATTCTATTTTTTCTTAGTTTTTATCGGCGATCGCAACTTCCAATTTTCCATTGGCAAATAGCATCTTTAGCAGTATGCTCGCTATCCATGAATCCATACACGTTACGTCTCTCCGTATCTTGATTATCACCGACGCACATCGTGAAACCGTCCTGTTGGAAAACAATTAAGTCGTCGTCAGCAAACTGAAAATCCCAATCATAGTTGTCGGGCTGTCCGTATCCTTGCCAACCACATATAGCAAATTGATGATAGTCCAAGCGATGGTATGGTAGATTGAATTTTACTCCGATTAATTTGACTTTAAAATCGAACGCATTACCATTTGACGGCTCGATAATTTCAGCTTTAATATGACCAGCATCATCAATGTATTTCTTCTCGTGCCACACCCATATAAAACGGTTTTCCGAATCAAGTTTTGCTTGAATAGCCGTGTACATGTATTCTTCGTATGCAACATTCATTAGACAAAAAACCGGTTGGAATAATAGAGTCTTATAAACATGCGGTAATCTAGCAATTGCGCTACTTAATCTCACTTTAAGCGCATTGTCTAAGTCGGCATAGAGAGGATGGTTCAGGATTTTATAAAAATAATAAGCTAGTTTCTTCGGGTATTGCTGATCGATTTTCTGTCTACCTTCGTAAACGCGGAACAGCATGAGTTGAGCTCTTAACATAAGTTCGAAACTTTCCGGTTCATCCGTTTGAAATATTTTCCACAAAATATCAACCAATTTACTCGGTGTTTGGACATTGAAAACTTCATTTAATGCATAGTACAGAATGTCTTCGGTTAATGATATTTCTTGATTTTTCGATAAAGTTTTTACTGCTGAACTGATATCATTACCTTCGCCGGTTAGAGACTTACTTAACGTTTTAGCGTTTTTTTCTTGAATAAAACGACGCACATTATTAGTCAATTGATTTAAATGCCGTGTCTCACTTTGAATTTTGTTATAAAAATCCATAGCCTTATTGGTATCTTCCGATTTTTCATATTCTATGTCGCTCCATAGGTCCGAGTAGCATATTCGTACTTGATCGTTGCAGTCCGCCCCGACCGTACATTTTATAAAATTTATGCAAACTAACAGCAAAGTAACAAAGGCGCGATTGACTCGTGTACTTGTCATAACGACTGCTTTAAATGAGAATTCGGTTTAAAATATAAATAATTCGCCTTAGAGTTAATAAGCTCTAAGTCAGTAATTTGTTATTCTGAGCACTAACGAAATTTCTCAAATACAATTGGAGAGAGCGAAAAACAGCGTTTGATCATGTAAACTGCACTGTATACTAAAACTGAAAGTCAATTTCAGTAAAATGTGTTCATTGAGCTCACCTTTTTCTCTGCCGTAGTTCCTATAGTTCCGTCTCTTAGTTTCGACATGCTTTTGGTCCATGTAAAAAGTAAATAGAACTTGCTGTTTACTGTTTGTGTACATGAAAATTTCGCACAGCTCTTCTTATATTGCTTTAGTGTCGAGAAACGACAGTATATGTCGGCAAGATGTAATCGTACGCATTCATATTTTAACGGAGAAATTTTCATTCTTGACAAGAAAATCGATAACGGGAATGACATTTAGAATAGAATAGAATACAATGGATTGAGTAAAGCTGTGGTATTTGGTATTCTTTCACTTTACTAAGCTGCCATCGTCACAAATATTGAAATAACCAGAATTATCACAAAATGTAATGCAATTATAAGACGTCCCAAAATTATTAGAAGTACTAGTACCAGTTTGTCTCTGATTACAACAAAATCTTACAAGGCACGAAGGCACAAGCTATCCAGACGCGTCGAAAAGTTCCGTCAACAATAAATAACCAATCTTTCTAACCGATTTACAATAACTCTAGCGATCTTAAGTGATAAAATTTTTATGGAAACAAAAAAACGGAATTCTTAAAATATATGTTCAAACTCTCTTTTCGATCGTTTCTGTTGCTAAAAAGACGCTCGAACAGAGGGGCACATCAAAACAAACCGATAAAAGAATTTAAGCCGAATTATTACGTCTCTCAAGGAAGCACTTGCAAGACCAATATAACTTGTTTCCTTCTCTGATTCTTATATAATAAGAAACTGAACGCCAATAAGGGAAGTTTTCTTAAGTTTAAGATTCCGAGAAATCTGGCTATACTTAGTAAAATTCTGCTAAAAATGTTTTAAAAAAAATGTCTCTCTCTAGTAGTTTGTTTATAAATTTAATTAAAATTAAATCCTTTTCCAATACTTAGCTAGCTTAAGCTTTCAACTCAAACATACAATGACAATCCTTTCATTGCGTCGTAAAGGGCAATAATAGTCATGATAGAGTATTTATCGCAGGACAAACTTGCGATCTCGTGCTTTATAGCATGAGAAAATTTTCTTAATGATAATCACAACCACAAACCAAAGGAAGTAAATCACTTTAATATATCACTCTATACCAAAACACGATTAGTTTAACGTATTTTTCTTATCATCTTTATTTCATTGTAAAAAAAATGTTATGTATTTTTGAACATATACTAAACAAGTAAAAATGTATGCAATGTCCACATATGTTAGCTAGAAAGACTTGACCGAACTTATCTTCAAACATCTTTAACTGTTCTTTGAACCATGGAAGCAGTTAAGTTAATTTTATAAGGATTAAAAAGTATTCTATTTTTTTCTTAGTTGTTATCGGCGATCGCAACTTCCAATTTTCCATTGGCAGATAGCATCTTTAGCAGTATGCTCGTTATCCATAAATCCATACACGTTACGTCTCTCGGTATCTTGATTATCACCTATGCACATTGTGAAACCGTCTTGTTCAAAAACGATTACGTCGTTTTCAACTACTTGAAAATCCCAATCATAGTTCTCGGGCTCTCCTAATCCTTGCCAGCCGGCTATAGCAAACTGATGATAGTCCAAGCGATGATATGGTAAATTGAATCTTACTCCGGTTAATTTGACTTTAAAATCAAACGCATTACCATTTGGTGGCTCGATAATCTCAGCTTTAATGTGTCCAGAATCGTCGATGAAATCCTTCTCATACCACACCCAAAGGAAACGGTTTTGCGAATCAAGTTTTGCCTCAAGAGCCGTGTAAATGTATTCATTGTGTGCGACGCTCATTAAGCAAAAGAGCGGTTGGAATAATAGAGCTCTATAAGCAAGTGGCAGCCTGGCAAGAGCTTTCCCTAATCTTTGTTTAAGCGCTTTTTCTAAGCCGGCATAGAGTGGATGCTTTAGGATTTTATAGAAATAATAAGCTATTTTCTTCGGGTATTGCTGATCGATTTTTCTTCTATCTTCATGAACGCGGAACAACATCAGTTGAGTTCTTACCATAAGTTCGAAACTTTCCGGTTCATTCCCTTCAAATATTTTCCATACCAGATCAACCAGTTTACTCGGTGTTTGGGCATTGAAAACTTCATTTATCGCATCGTATAGAATGTCCTCGGTTAGTGATATCTCCTGATTTTTCGATAAAGTTTTTACTGCTGAACTGATGTCATTACCTTCTCCAGTTAGTGACTTACTCAACATCTCAGCGTTTTTTTGTTGAATAAAACGTCGCACATTATTACTCAACTGGCTTAAATGTTGTATCTCACTTTCAATTTCTTTATAAAAATCCATAGCTTTACTGGTATCTTCTAATTTTTCATATCGTATGTCGCTCCATACGTCCGAGTAACACGTTCGTAAATGATCATTGCAGTCGGCGCTGATCGTACATTTTATAAAATTTATGCAAACAACGAAAAAAAGGGAAGCGCGATTAACTCGTACACTTCTCATGGCGACTGCTTTCAATGAAGGTTCGGTATAAAATAATAATTCTTACAATTAATTGCTAAGCTGTAAGTAAATAATTTCTTTATTCTTAGTGGTAATGAATTTTCTCACATACATTCACAGAGAGTGAGAAAGATCGTTTGATCATATAAAGTACACTGCATACTAGAACTAAAAATTAATTTCGGCGAAATTTCTTCATTGAGTCAATTTTTTTCTCTGTCTTAATTCTGATTGTTTTATATTTGCAATGCATCGAATTTTTAATTTCGCTGCTACTTTTGGTTTTTACTTTTGGCCTCAATATGAAGTCAGAGAATTTAGTTATCTATTTCTTGTGTATGTCATATAATTTTTAATCACTTGTAACAGCGCCGGGAAACAAGACTTTGTGTCGATTGGCCGTAGTCATACGCATTCTCCATAATAATGGAGAAGACTTCGGTCTTCAGAAGAGGATCGGTTCGACGAGAGCAAGGCCTCTTACAAGCCTCTTAGAAGGCATGTAGATGATAGAAAGCAATGAATTTAGAAATGCTCTTTAGTTAGTATGTCAATCCATCTAATAAGATCGGGGACCTCGAGGGCCGTTCTTATTATCGCATTGAAAGCTTGCAGTTGTGCGCTAAAGCTCTCTCACCGTAACATTGAAATAACTAGAGTTCTCGCGAAGCATAATGCTATCAGCCGGCGTCGAGCTTACCTGGTACCAGTTTGTCTCTGCTTGCATTCAGAATATTAATACTCCGTACGGATTCACCCAAGAACTTCCCAGATACAACAGTAAATATTGTGCTACTCTAATTCATCAATAATTCAATAATTCAATAATTACTGATTTCTATGGTAATAGGATTATAAACTGAAAAATAGAATTCTCAGAATATATATGCCTCTCGAGATGTTCTCCATAGTAAAACTCTCTCTATGGGAAAACTTGCGAACAGAAGACATTACGTTATACCTTATACCACTTTTTGTTACAAGTACATGTTAAGTTTGTGCTGGCGTATCTAACCCCCAGAAAGACTTGAGATAGCTCTAAGCTTATCTGACCATTTGTCCGACTGTCCATAGGATTTTCTTGTGGTCACCCATTGTGCGAGCAGCAATTTTTAAAATATTTTAACTTATTGCTCTGATTGGTTTTGGTCCAAGGATAAACGCCATTGGAAATTGTTCGAATCAGTAAACTTTCGCAACTTTTTCATACAACACCTTATTTCGAAAAATCGTTACTTGAATAACCGTAGGGTATTTTTGGTTGTTTTAATAAAAGAGAATGAAAGCTGAGAGAGAAACAAAGGTGCGCTCAATGTAATGTCAATAAATGCTGATTTCACTGAAACTGAACATCAATTCAAGTATGAAGTGTTGTTTACTTTATCAAGCTTTCTCTCGTGCTCTCTCTAATTGCATTTCAAAATAATGCACTCGGCATTACGAATAAGGAAATTATTTACTTATAATTTATAAATTACAAGATTTACTACCTTATAGTGAGCTTTTATTGAAAGCAGTTGTCATGAGCATCATATGAGTCAACCGCGCCTTTCTTACTCTCGTAGTTTCCATAAATTTTTTAAGATATACGGTTAGCGGTGAGTGTAACGATCAAATGCGAACGGAATAGAGTGACAACGTCACAGAATGCCGATAACGCTATAGATTTTTACAAATAAATCGAAAATGGGATACAGGATTTAGCTCTCAAACTGACGAATGTAACGAATTCAGTTCAGTAGTGAAAAGTTTATCGAAAAATCGACAAACGTCACTGACCGAGGGCACTCTATACGAGACAATAAGTGAAGTTTTAATTGATCAAACACCTACTAGACTGGTTGATCTTGTGTGGGAATTACTTCAAGCGGATGAACCGGAAGGTTTCGAACTTTTGGCGAGAGCTACACTGTTGCTCTTTCGCGTGTATGAAAAGAAAAAAGAAATCGAACAGCATTACCCGAAAAAACTATCTTATTATATATACAAAATCCTGAGCATTCACTCTATACAGACTTAGACAAAGCAAAATTAGATAAATCAGTTGCCAGATTGCCGGATAGCTATAACGATCTATTATTCGAAAGCCCGAGCTGTCTAAAGAACTCCGCCTGCGACGACGCCATTTATTCTCAGATTATCGAAACGTCATCAAACAGTAATAGGTCCGATAATAAGGTCAAACCGCCGGCAATCAGCTTCAATATACAGTCTAATCATTTGCATTTAAAATAATTTACTGGGACACCAGACAACTATGACTGGGATTTCCAATTCGTAGTTAAAAGCCGTAATTGTTTTTTAACAAGACGGGTTTCATATTGTGTATGGGTGAAAATCCCAATTCCCAAGCACATGACGTATATGAATTTATAGATGAGCAGCAGCCTGCTGAAGACGCTATATGTCAATAGAAAATTGGAAATTTCGATTGCCGATAAAAAGCAAGAACAAAAAAAAAGTATTCAATCAGTACAATTATTTTTATATATTTATTTATATATATATATACATTTACATTGCTATCACGTTTCGAAGAATTCGTTGAAAATAACAGGTTGACTGACTTGAGTTGGAAAAACGAGATTAGCGATACCGCGAAGCATCTCTAAATAAGAAGATATATATATATATACTAGCAGTATATATTAACTAATATATATTAACAATAATATATATAAATATTCAACTAAGTACATTGACAGATCCATTATTTTATTTCACTTGAACGATAATATCACGTTATGAGCACTAAACATAAATACACTTTGTTGAAATTATATAAAACGACTAAAACGTGTATAGTGAACTACGGGCTTAGGTTAAATACCCTATACTACCCTTTATATTATTTTTATAGCGACTTTTCAAAAAAACCGGAAAGCACTCGCAAAACTCATTCGATGCGAACCATTTCCAATGGATGTCATCCATGGACCAGAATACCTCGGTGTACCAAATTTCATCAAAATTGCAGCGTGTAGCTCGACCACAAACTCACATGGACAGATATGGAACGCACAGACGGAGAGACAGGCTTACAGCCGGTACAATAAAAGGTGGGTCTATCCGCGTGTTACATACGACCGCACTAACTTAATGTACCTTGTACCACAAGCGGTGTAGGATATAAAAAAGTATTGTGCACTTGAAAATAATGTGTTTGGCAATCAAGATTCGAACTCGCATCCCCAGCAACATTGAGATTCTGTTTGGCTTTGCATGCAGGTACGGTAACATGGGTTGAACAACAAACCAGAAAAGGAGACATGAAACTTTTAGTCGCTTTTTCTCTGCATCGATATCATAATTTTTATGAATTTTTATATTCTTGATCCATGACTAAGGATGGAACAGTTTGTTCATTGACTAAGAATCCAGCAGTTAGTTTAACATTTCGACCTCGAATAAGTGTTCTGTACTCTAAATACTAGAGATATACAAACATATAATAAGAGAGAAATTCTATAAACTTTGACACTTTTCAGGTTTATTTTTTAATTTTTCGATACGTGATGATGGCCTCTCAAGAGGGAAAGCAATACAGTTTTGATAAACACGTGCATGCTTTCCTATCGATCTGCTGATGTTTTTAACAACAACGTGAATATAATTTTCCAAATCACAAAACACAGCTCACTCGGAGAGACTGTGCCGCCTTGTCGTCAACGTGGGATCACACACTTGAACTAATGGCAAGCATTTTTTCGTGATCTGTTTGTGATGTCTTTCACGGCAATGCAAAAAAAAGTTTTCCAAACCATATGCGGCAACCCGGTCTACCACTTTGTGCCATTTTACTTCCGTAGCAGAATCGGAGGCGAAAGCAAAATTACATCCGACACCTTTTTCGACCTGCCGGCGTTTTTAAAATTATTATGTCGTACACGAAAGTCCCTTCTTAGCATCCTATATGTCGTCAGCAAGGATTGCGTAACGTGTCGATCTTCTGCGCGCTTTCTGCTCTTCTAGGATCTAGATTTAAAAGCAGCATTGAGTCTTTGAGGCCTTTTTTAACCGGTTTTTTTTTAATAGTCAAACGTGCGATTCGTTAAGATTGTCTCTGTTGTTGTTGATGATATTAACGAGGGTCTGTGTTGCTGCAAGTTATCGTAATGTGATGATTTTTATACCCTTCACGACTTTTGATATGAGGGTATATTATGCATCATTTCTGAATTGATTTCAGCGTGTCTGTCCGTCTGTCCGTGTTAAACTCTTGTGTTTAACCAATATGTCACAACTTTTGATGAAAGTCGATACTCATCTCAAGTTCTTTTGCTCAACCTACAGGTCCCAATTTTGAAGAAGGATTGGTAAAAGTCGATGCACTGATGTGTTTTGGGACCAAGGACGAAGGTTATTAAAAATGGTTCGGATCGGACGACTTTTTCGAACATTTCCCATCCCACCCACCTTGTGTACTGTGCAAAGTCTGTAGGGTGACAGTTGATGGCAGACCATGGTCAACTGTAGTATTTTCACTTTTTTTTTTTTCATTTATATTTCATAATAATTTCATTTTTTATGAAAGTTTCATGATCCCGCTGGCTAAGCTGGGAATCAAGTGCGTTGTCAGAATTTGATTAAAATCATTAAATTGTAATTAAATGAAATCAATTAGTCAATCATTATGACAGCCGCTTCATCATAAAGCGATAACCTTCCATCGTATGAAAAATGATTTATTAATACCTTATCAAATGGAGAAATTGCAAAATTAATGAATTAATTTGATAACTTTTAAAGCGAAGTGCAGGTCCGTATGCGTAACGTACGAGCTCCGCTTCTTCTTCTATTTGACAATACTATCGCTATTTAATTGATTACAAAAAAAAAAACTTATATACAGCTATAGTAAAAGATTTGTTTATACAAAATTTCGATGGCTACGTGACTTTATTCATGCTTCGATTAATTGAATAGAGGGAACACAACAACTACTACCTGGCGTATAACCAACGTTATAGAAAATAAAAAATCAACTTCTTGCTAATTGTAAGTGGGTCAGTGAAAGTTTCGAAAGCCATT